CACCTCATCATGCAGTTGATGCTGCAGGGCGCGGGCAGAGGGTGTGGCCACCATAGCGCTGCTGGGCTGTCTGGGCGATCTGCGGTGCCGGGACCTCCGCCACTCACCAGGACACCCGTCCGCCCTGTCCCCTACCCCCCGTCTCGCCCCCGTCCCGTCCCCCCACCTCGCTCCCGCCCCGGTCAAAAACCCGTGAGCCAGAGATTTTCCAAGCGGTAGTGACCATATTCCTGAGAACGAGTTCGTCCCCCAACCTGATCTTCTGGAGGTTCTAGGGAGGGTAGGGTTATTATTCTATGTTCTATGTTTTATCAAAGGAAGGAGTCTTCAAAGAATTGCTGGTAAACTCACCCAGCCAATCCAATCAGTGGCTACTGCTAATGCGCTTAAACATGTCATTCCTTGAAAGATAAGAGGTGGCACAGAGACAAAAGAGTATCAACAGCTAAAACCTCTCTAACCATCTAATTGGTTTAAATCCAAGGGCCTGAATCCACATTCACCTGTTGTTTTGGCTCACTTTGGGAGAAAACCATCTAAGAGATTTAGGTGATAGAACTTCTTTCTATGGGTTATTTTTTTTTTAACCCATGCACAGATCCAGGTATATAATGGAATACTAGAATTCACCATCCTGTTCAATGCAGTAAGAATATAGATAGCACACTTGCCCAAGATAAATGTTCTTCGTCCCATAAAAGAAAGCAGATACTGTATGTTGCAACTGTGAAAAAAACCATTTCCACATAGAACCCTTGAAATGTTGTCTACTATATTAAGGCAACTTTGCTCTATTTACTGGAAGTGCATCTGGTTTAAACCATGCCTGATCAGAATGGGGACTCTGGTTTAAACCATGCCTGATCAGAATGCCTGATCTAGGAAAACTAGGAATTGGAAAATGCCTGGTTTTAGAGCAGACATGCCAAACACAAGGCCCGGGGGCCAGATGCGGCCCGCGAAGTGGTTTCATGTGGCCCGCAATGCCATCCTGGAAACAGTGAGGGAACGGCCCCCGCTGCCTTGGCCCTGGCCCCGGCCGGCCAGGAGCCAATGTACAATTTTGTGGTGGCCATCTATGCTGAAACGCATTCAGACTTAGCTCCACAAGGCCATCTACAAACAGCGAGTAACCAGCCCCTGCTGCGCCGGCCCCATCCCCTGGGTGCATGCTGGGGAAGTGTTACCCTTTGTGAGGAATGAATGGACCATGCCTTGGCGCTTGCCCCGGTCCCACCCCCTTCTGCCAGAGACCCTCAAATTTGTCCCACTCCTGCCCAGGCCCTCACAGGCACCCTTGACGCGAACAATTTAGAGCTGGCCATGCTCACCCAGTAGGCCACACCCACTCCATCCACACCCACCCAGTAGGCCACCTCCCCCCCGAGGGCAACCACAATGCTGATGCGGCCCTCAATGAAATTGAGTTTGACACCCATTTTAGAGGTAGATTCTAGGAATTTTCCAATTCCTAGTTTTTGTAGATGACGGGTCCGACGCGTCATCAGTCTCTAGTCCCTTCCCACCCACAAGAGATCCAAGTCCAGTCCACCTTGAATTCTGTTGACTCGTCTACCACCGATTTGCTTTGATTGTTGGTAGTTCAGATTCTTATAGAAAGCTTCTGTTTGCAATAAACCTATATATTCATTTCAACTGCCCGAACTCCTGATTTTCAGTGTTCGACACTCTTCTGCTTCCAAAGTGGTTCTTCATATATGTGAAGTCCATTGGAGTTGGGCAGCTTACAAATTCAAAAAAATAAATTTCTTGTTGCTGAAACAAATTGTTTGGATCATGTTATTTTGCTTTTGTGAGATATTGCATTCTGTTAAGAGAGGCAACAATTTCAGTGCACTCTGGAATTATTTTATTAAATTAAAGTTTCACGTTGGTCTTTGGTTTATATACATCTCAGGTTCAGGCTTTATAAAGATTAATACCTTCCTGTATCAGATGCAGTTTTTTAAAAAATCAATCGAAAGAAAAGGTAACCACCTCTTTACATTTAGCCCTCACCCCTTCCTTGAATGTTATTTCTATACAATCAAATGTTTGTAATATCTCCTGCTGTCAAGAGAAATAGACATTAACAAACATGTACAAGTAGTCCTCAACTTACAACCACAATTGAGCCCAAAATTTCTGTTAAGTGACACATTTGTTCAATGGGTTTTGCCCAATTTTATGATCCTTCCTGCCATAGTTCTTAAGTGACTCGCTGCAGTTGATAAATTTGTAACCTGGTTGCTAAATGAATCTGGCTTCCCCATTGACTTTGCTAGTCAGAAGGTTGCAAAAGGTGATCGCATGACCTTGGGGCACATCAAGGGTTGTGTGAAACCAGTTGCCAAACGTCGGAATTTTGATCACATGATCATGGGGAGGCTGCCAAGGTCCTAACAGTCATAAGTCCCTTTTTTTCCAGTACTGTTGTAATTCTGGATGGTCACTAAATGAACTGTTGTAAGTGGAGGACTGCTTGTATTCCTCTTCTCCTTGCCTCAGAGACATCATTCCGTTACCTCGAGAGGGCTTAAGATTCTGCCTCATCTACACAAATAAGGACTTTAGGCAGGCATCATCAGGAAGTATTCTTTTGGGTATGCAACTTTATCAACATACAGTTGATAAAACTTTACAGGATTGAGAACGAATTCCAGTCTGATCTGAGACCGCTACCCATATTCTTGGAGGAACACAGAAATTATTGGATCCAGCCCCTGTACCAAGGAAGGAACGTCTTGTCCAAAGTTATCAAATGATTCTCATGCCAGCCTTACTAACGTCTCATGTTATGTCAGCCTCAGTCTAGTCCAGGGCTTTTCAACCAGTAGTACGGGTACCATCTGTGGTACATTGGCACCTGGCAGGTGGTACGCGACCATCCTAGAAAAGTGGTAGCGGCGGAGGGGAGTGAGCTGAACCGGTGGCAGCACCGCACAAGCCTGAGCGAGAGATGGCTGGAGCTGCAGGGCTGTCAGGGCTCAGCGGAAGCGCCAGGATCAGCACTTCTTCGGGGCTGTCAGGGCTCAGTGGAAACCCCAGGATCAGCGCCAGGATCCAGCTGGAGCTCGGCGCTGATCCTGCCGCTTCTGCTGAGCCCAGAAGAAGAGCCGATCAGCTGGAATGTTGCAGTATCTCCAGGGTCTTGTGATTTACATTCAGATGCTTGGCAACTGATTCATATTTATGGCGGTCACAGTGTCCCAGGGTCATGTGAAGTGACCAAAACCTGCTGCAACCACCCAGCCGACGGGGGGGAGTAAAAACCAAACACCCCCACCCCACCCCCGCTGCCAATGCTCAACAGAAATGCTCACAACAATGAAAACCTCGGACAGGAGGAAGAGCGCCGCTGGGTGGGCAAGCAGGTGTCTTGCTCGGCTGTGGCTTGGGGGGCACTTTTTTCAGTGCCATTGTAACTTCTAAGAGTCACTAAGTGAACTGTTGTAAGTCGAGGACTACCTGTACTTTCTTTTTTCATTTTTTTTTTGTCATCGTTTTTGACACCTTGCTAGGCGACTGGTGGTACTCGGATGTTGCCATATCCTAAAAGTAGTACAATGGGTGAAAAGATTGAAACGCCCTGGTCTAGACTAGACATGAAACACACCCACATGAGCTAACTGCACTTTACTGTAAGATTACATTAACAAAATCTTGCAACTCTGAAAATGCTTTTCTCTCTCTTCTCCCCCCCACCCAATCCCATTTCCAGAGCAAACCAGGGTCTCTTCTGAGCCTATTGCCTCATCCACATTCCTGCCGTGGGCTAAGCTGCCTTTTATCTGACCTTGGTTGTGTCTCTTTGTCCTGTCTCCCAAAGTCATTCCCTCATTATACACATCCTCCATTTTTTAAAAAAATGTCTCTAATGTGAATTAACAAAACTAATTGTTCCGGTCTCCTGTAAAATTGATCTTTGTAGACCAACCACTCTGGTTCAAGTTCAAAAAAAAGAATTACCCTCTTTCGTCTTATATGTATTTTTAACACAATTCTCAAAAGATATCCTAACGAGGAGGATAAGATTATAGTCGTTTGATCACCATTCTACAACCACGACAAAGGAGGCTACAAAATGGGCCTGGATGGTCAGTTTGGCCTACAGCAGTGGTTCTCAACCTGTGGCCTGTGGATCCCAGAGGTTCTGCCATCACACCCATCCACGAAGGCTTGAAAAAATGTTATTTAAATCCTGAGTTAAATCTTGGGGGTCCGTGGCCACAAAGGGTATTTAAAGGGGGTCCGTGGTGAAGAAAAGGTTGAGAACCAATGGCCTCTCTAGAATGTCCATTCCTACAGGAATCAATCCAGGTTGATTGTCACATGCAACCTGAATGTAAACATTTTCATCTGAACTGCAACAACTTCCTTCTCATTACAGTACACAATTTGGTATACAGATAGTCCTCAACGTACAACCACAATTGAGCCCAAAATTTCCACTGCTAAGCAAGGGAATTGTTAAGTGAGTCATGCCCCATTTTATGACCTTTTCGCCACGGTTGTTAACCGAATCACTGCTGTGTTAAGTGAATCAGGCAGTTGTTAAGTAAATCTGGCTTCCTCATTGACCTTGCGTGTCATAAATTCTCAGGAAGGTTACAAATGTCAATTCCAGGACCCTGAGACACTGCAACCATTGTACATACAGGCCAGTTGCCAAGCACCTGAACTTTGATTATGTGACTGTGAGGGTGCTACAACAATCGTAAGTGTGAAAAGGCCATTGTATTTTTGAATGGCCATTAATCAAATGGTTGTAAATTCAGGATTATCCATATTCTGAAATACAGAGTTTCATGTTATCTTAAAAATTAAGCAAGACTTTTTAATTAATCTGGTATTCTATATCAGGAAATGTTTAATGATTTTTATATGTCTTTATTAATACTTTAAATATTTTTTTAAGTTGAGTTTGTGTTTATCGTAATCTGAACGCACATCATTTAACTTAATCTGATATCAATATGAAAAGCTTCTTTTAATACCCAGAAGAGCAATTTTTATTTTTGCTTTATACAGCACAGAAAACAGGAATTGTATGACATATTAAAAACAGTAATGATTTATTTTTAAATTTTTTTAAAACAAGAGTGACGTAAAAAGATACCATGTGAATTATCAATCAGTAGTTAAAACAATATGTTTGAGTTCTTCTACTGAGACTATCATTCCAGTTTATGAATATACTTTATTATAATAAGCTGTCATTACATTTAGGAATTGGCTTGTCGTTCTCTGTTGAATGACATTTTCTGTTCTTCTTGCCAATGTCTATAAGGAGAACCGGAAAATATTTTTTTTCTTCAAAGGATATAAATCAATCTGCAACTATTCCTTGAAAACTGAAATTACTTTATTTAATTAGAATATCATTAGTATTGTCTTCTTAGTGATATCAAGTACGTTAGTAACAACACACAATCCAAAATTAATGCTATAGAATGATAACATTAGGGGATATACGCCCCAATCCAAGATTCCATGTACTTTTGGTTACACAGATGTATTATTTGTGGCCAAGAATGTTCCTGTTACTTTAATTCATGGATTTTCTTCAGTAATTAAATTTCTCTTTTTTTAATAAAATATCCACAAACATAGGCAAGTTATGTCCCAAATAGCTCTGGAGTTAAATGTTTTAGTGATTAGTGCAGATTGCTGGTTGAGGATAATGTCAAGATGGTATAAAGCTCCTGTCAGTTAAGGAACGTATTGTTTCTGATAACTTGTTATTACTTTGTGACAAGACCTACAACATGATTAATTTCCTTGCAATAAAGTTCATTCTTACCTAATTAGTTTTGTATTTTAAACTGCATCATTTTGTCTTTAAAAGCTGGAACTCAGGTGTGTCAATTCCTCAAACTTTACTTCAGAACTTTAAAAAAAGGAACAACATTGCTAAATGACTCTAAGACAGACATGATATTAACATTATTTATACTATCATAATTTAATGTGTATAAATTTGTTTTTTAATATAAAACAATTTTTAAAATACAGAGGTACTTCAATTTAGAGATAAAATTTAAAAGACGCCTTTTAATGTTAACGATGTAACATTTGTGCTCAGGTTAAAGGGCATTATTAAACTGAGCATAATTTATTAAAACATACATATACACATTTTATAAAATTACTGGTATGAAAACAACCTCAATAATAGATATATGTCATGATTAAAGGACTTTTCATCTTCCATATTTATTTGCTTTGCGGTCAATAGCAACTACAGACTGCCTGTAGCTCATCTAACTGAAAATGAATAACCTTGAAAAAGAGATAATAACAAACCATACTATTATCTCCAATTCAAATGTTTAGTCTTAATTTTCAGGGCAAACCTATCATAATTATTAAAAACCAACCCAGCCTATGTATGATAGCAGAATGTTGCAAAGTTTGATTACACACTAAGTGCTCCCACACAGTTTCTTGTTGTTTCAATAATCCTAGTATTAATGATTTAACATTTTAGAGGTAGAATTCAAGTCAACGCTGACAGTGAGTCCAAACATGGAAACATCGCATTATTGTTCTGCTTTTAAAGTAACTGATTAATCCTTGAAGCCCACATTTCTAAGAAGAAAGAAAATGGAATGATTATATTGAAAACATGCCCATTAGGAATTTATAATCTTAGAATATTGTGTTTTTTTTAGAATGTACAGTAGTGGCCAAAATTGTGGAAACCTTTTGGGAAAAGTGCCACCTTTGGTTAAGTTTCCACCCATTTTTCTTCTAATTTCTTTATAACTGTAGCCTTGTTCACTTAATAATACTATTTTACATCGCTTTCTGGGCAACCAGTCAACTCTTTGCACCATTACTTTAATTTTATTACGTTTTACAAGCTCACTAAATGAAAGAACACAAAGAAACCGAACCATCTTGATAGCGATCACATAACACACTGACAAATGTCCTCTCAGCTTCAATACATGACATCAATAACTGAATCTTACTGTGATCTGATTGGCTCATTGCCAAAACAAGGTGACACCTGATTGGCTCTCTAAACACTCATGCTCATTGGCTACAATCAGATGAAGGAAAGCTACCTGATCTCAACCTAAGCAAGTTGTGCTTCCTTTTTCTGGTTATTTGGCTATCACTTTTCATAGAATACAGTACAGATAATTGAATAAACATTGTTGCATTACATTCTTGATTAAATTATTTTTCCATTGATATATAATTTTATGGTACTACTCCCCCCCAAAAAATGGTGTTATTAGCCATCAAACCTCAAAAATACACTTTTCCCAAAAGGTTTCCACAATTTTGGCCACCACTGTATACTTTGTGCCTCACGTCAGATCATGTCATATTAGACCTATCTTCAAAATACAATACTCACATAATTTCAATTACACAAAAGCACCCAACAATAGGTATTAATTATCTACCTGCCCTCATCTCTCCCACATTAAAGACGGTAAAGATAACATTCAGAGCTAACTTTCTAAAAGTACTTTGTCTCTGGGAGAAATCCAAAATACAGATCCAATCTCATGTTTAATTTTGAAATATTAATGCCAATTAATCATATGCCCCCGAAGTAAACAAACACCTAGCGACTTAATTACTTACTTTTCTGTCCGTTCTGTTGTTACTGAAAATGCTCTCTCTGGAGAATGCGATGGAGATCTCAAAGTTGAGCTAAGTGGCGATGAGGTAGGTAAAGAAGTGGTAGAAAAGCCAAGTCGTCGCATCTCTTGGATGGCACGTTCCCTATTAAGTAGAAAATTACAACTGAACTCTGGTTGCCCTTCCAAATATTCTCTCACACGGAAAACAAGAATGGTCACCTTTTTCCCACACAGCAAATTGGAATCCTTTAAAAAAATATTCTCTTCTTTACTAGCTGCGAGAAAGCATTTTGTTTCTCTTAACGTTCAATCAGAATTTGCTTTCCAGGAACTTTAGATAATACAGGTAGTCCTTGACTTAAAACCATTCTTTCAACAATCATAATAAGTTACAATAGCCCTGACCATTTTTCACATTTGTGACCGTTGCAGCATCCCCATGGTCATGTGATCAAAATTTGGATGGTTCATATTTATAACGGTTGCTGTGTCCGGGTGTGTGTGTGTGTCTCGTGATGACCTTTTGCGACCTTCTGACAAGCAAAGTCAATGGGGAAGTTAGATCCACTTAACAACCGCGTTACTAACTTAACAACTGCAGTGATTCGCTTAGCGACTGTGTCAAGAAAGGTCGTAAAATGAGGTAAAATTCACTTAACAACTTATAATAATAATAATAAAGTTGGAAGGGACCTTGGAGGTCATCTAGTCCAACCCCCTGCTCAGGCAGGAAACCCTATACCATTTCAGACAAATGGCTGTCCAGTCTCTTCTTAAAAACTTCCAGTGTTGGAGCATTCACCACTTCTGGAGGCAGGTTGTTCCACTGGTTAATTGTTCTAACTGTCAGGAAGTTTCTCCTNGTCTGCAGCTGTGCAAGTTTATTTCGCAGTATAGAAACTTCTCTACTGAGACTTGTTCTAAAAATATTGCAAAACAAAGAGGAAAATATCTACTACACATTCGCAGATGGCATTGTACAAGAACTTTAAAAATAGCTGCAAACAACTAAACGGAGACCTAGAAATTAAGAAAAAAATACCCACACTTGTGCATACACATGCAAAAAGTTCTTAAAGAAACCTCCAATTTACCACAAAACAGTCTACTTAAAATATGTACATTTGGAAATGCATTCGCCTGAAACTTAAAGCAATGCATGCATTTGACACATTGCTGACAGAATTTCTTCTGTATTGCAAGCTTTGATTTTTCCAAGTGGCCATAATGAACAATATACTTGCATACGAATAGGCAATACTACACGCATTTGTAGTGACAATCGTAATAATCTAAAACAGTGTTTTTCAAACCTGGCAACTTTTAAGTTTTGTGGACCTCAACTCCCAGAATTCCCAAGTCCTCCTGACTAAGGAATTCTGGGAGTTCAAGTCCACACATCTTCAAGCTGCTAAGTTTCATCTAAATTGTTTTTCTCCGCTGAAGAACACAGATTGCACATGTTGCTTTTAGCATATTCTGCTTTATATCTTATACTTTGCATAGCAAAGGGTACCGTGCAAGGTAAGAAAATAATCGTACTTTTGTGAAAGAAACACATAAACCAAAGATGAGTAATTACATCTTTCAATGCAAGTTAGGCAAATTGCAATTCCAGGGGAAATATCTGAAGCCTGTTGTTTCTAACAAAACCTTTCTCTCGTTACTAATCAGAAAATCTGGATTTCATTATGTAAATTTATATATATATATATATATATAAATATATAAGAATGGAGATACTTCACACACACACATGCACACACACAGACAGATATATATTCAAGAATGGAGGCACTAAATTACAAACAGCTGAAAGAAAATATTATGAAACCAGTCATTTTATACTTTTCAACATACAATTTACTCTCTGAGAGAGTTAACTTGTCTTTGAGCAACTGTATCTCTGAATCCTTTTCATGGGTTATCAAATGATTCTGAAAATCGTTGTCTCTGCTGGTAGCCAAGAGCGTTTCCAAGTTTTGTATTGTAAGCCGCTCACTTGACAATTGCTTTTTTAACAGCTCTCCTTCTGCCTTTGCATCTTCAAATTCAGATACAATCTAGAACATAAAAAAGAGTTTCTTTAGTAAATAATCTCACAGTGACTAAGTAAGCCCATAGTTCCTGTCCACCTCGCCATTAAACCCTTCTTTACTCCACATCCTTCCCCTCTCTCCCAGGGTGGCTTTTCAAGCCACAGTGACTGCAAGACGAATTTTTAATCTTAGAATATATATCTATTTTACTGTCAACATTTTACCTTAAATAAAAAAATTGATTTATATCCTGTAAGAATAACATTTTTCTCTTTTACCCTCTCAAACTCCAGAGATTTGGATGTTAATTGACGTGAGACCAGATCTTTGCTAGATTCCAGTTTGACACATAGATCTCTAACGGCAGACACATCGTGATTTATTGAAGATTTTTCTTCTTTTTCACGTCTGAGAATTTCTTCCAGCTTGGACATATTTTTTGCCATTGAAGAGATTTGAGATTCGTAAGTTTGATGTGCAATGATGTGCTGCATGAAAGACAAAAGTAACTCTTTTTAGAAGCCTGGATGATATGCTCCTATTACATTTTCCTATTTGCACTCAGTTATTGGGAAACAAACAAAACAATATATCAACTTGGAAGTATTTTTCCGTTTCAAAATAAACTTACAACCATTTGCAAGACTTAACAAGTACTGGGCAAGAGCAGGCATAAATCTAAAATTAGTTATCCCCCTGAGAACATACAGATGATTAATGCCATCTGCTCCTTGTACAAAGTTTCAATTAATGTCCAGGTATTTGATTAAGAAAAGCACATTAAAATGGTCTAGGAAGCTATAATTTTATAATTACCTCTTGAATTTCTTTTTCCAGTAATTCTACTCTTTCTCTAAGATGTCTTCGTTCAGTATCAATTGAAAGGAGCTCTAATCGTACTGAGCTGTTTTGTCCCTCAGCTTGATGGGCCTTTACTTCCCAATCTTCGGCTTGGCTATGAAGCATCTGGAACTTCTCCAATAATTCTTTATTTTCTCTTTCCTAATATTAAGAGAAAATAATACGTCCACTGAGCAATACGTCACTGAAACAAATGTCTCAGCTACTATTTGGCTTCTCTTCGGTTTAGAAATTGTCAGCAACTTGTTCCACTGAAGAAACCTGAATATGTGTTATTTTCCATATGAGCCAACCCAGTACTTCAAGATTAAATTATCATACTGTTACAGTTAAGACTTTAAAAGATTTGAGGCAAATGTTACAGTAATTGATCATCTATCTTATCTTTCTTATCTATATAAATAAAAATGTAAATGTTCGTTTGTTCAAAATCTTAAATCTTCGAAAGTTCTTCACCGATTGCTTTGAAATTTTGATACAACGTTGCATTCGAATACGTACGTGTTTTTCCCAATATAAAATTTTATTGTTTTTATCATAAACGAAAAAATACATCACAAATATTACACAATGATTTATCCCATCCCCCTACCCCCCAGACTTCCCAAACCAAACCTAGGCTAACATTCAACTACAAGTAAACAAATATTAATATCTCTAACTCCAAACTCTAAACTTAAGCAATCCATCTCCTCCGTGTTAATAAAAAT